GAGAAAGGGAGAGGGAGAGAGAGAGAAAGAGAAACATCAATGATGAAAGAGAATCATTGGTTGGCACACTCCCTATTGGGGATTGAGCCCACAACACAGGCATGTGCCCTTGACCGGAATCGAACCTGGGACTTTCAGTCTGCAGGCTAATGCTCTATCCACTAAGCCAAGCCAGCTAGGGCAAATTCAGTTGTATTTTAAAAAAATAAGACCTTCTTCAAGAAATATTGCAATCAGGGTATGATATACCCTTTTCTGGTTTCTTACCCTTGCTCTAAAAATGCAACTTTGATACTTTATTTGGAAAACTTTAAAAATACATTTTAATGTAATAGTTAAAGAGTTATGCCTAACTATAAAAGCCCCAAATGTACACAGAAAACTTTTCAGTGAACAAAAGCAGTGTTCAGTATGTCCTTACTATAAGTTTTGTATTCCAGGCTCTCTTAAAGGGTAGGTGCCATATATTAAGTATTTTCAGAATCTCTGTGAAATATATTTAAGATTCCATGGACCACATGTTTATGTGTTCTTTAGCTAAACATGCTAAATTTGATTAAAAAATATATTATTCTTTAATAGAAAAATAACCTTCTCTTTTGGTAATTTCCCTTCTAGGAATTTACCCCCAATTTCTCCTTCCTGAAAAAATAAAAAAGTTCAGACAAAGAATTATATACACAAAAATCATTCAGTGGAAGTTATTTACTATAAGTCAACCCTGAATACTATATAATGTTCAACAATAAGGAAATTATTAAGTAAAATAGGATTCATCTGCAAGGCAGAACACTAAAGCTATTAAAAATGTCTTATCAAGTCCTGGCTCAGTTGGTTGGGCACTGTCCTGTGCACCAAAAGGTTGCCAGAACCATTCCCCATCAGGGCACATACTCTGGTTGTGGGTTTGTCTCTAGTCAAGATGTGTGTGTGAGGCAGCTGATTGATGTTTCTCTCTCTCCCCCCCTCTCCTTTTCTCTCTCTCAAAAAAAAAAAAAAAAGGATAAAAATGTTTTATCAAGTTACATATAATAAGCAAAATGTTCAGGCTGTAAGTAGAAAAGGGGATACAATGTATATATGTGTACCTACCATGTGATCTCATCTATGGAAAAATGCATGAAAAAAGATGACTAGAGGTGAAACTGGTTTGGCTCAGTGGATAGAGCATCAGCCTGCAGACTGAAAGGTCCTGGGTTTGATTCCAATCAAGGGCATGTCCCTTGGTTGCAGGCACATCCCCAGTAGGGGGCGTGCAGGAGGCAGCTGATTGATGTTTCTCTATCATCCATGTATCTAACTCTCTATCCCTCTCCTTTCCTCTCTGTAAAAAAATAAAATAAAATAAAAAATCAACAAACTATATTTAAAAAAAAAGATGACTAGAGGGAAACATACCATTATGTTGAGAATTATTTATTCCCATTGATGAAGAAATTATATATGTATTTTTTGTGAACTATTCTTTATATTTTATACATTAAGACTATACTTTTTTAATAGAAAACAAGAAAAAGTTTAAGGGTACAAGTGATTTGTCTGGAATTTTATTTTACAGACAAAAAAAAACCTAGCCATATAATCAGATAAAAGGAAAAAGTTCCTTTGCTAGTAGTAGAGTATTAATAAAATAAAACACTACTCAAGGACACATAGTATTACTACTTAAATAGTTTAACAGTCTAAATGCTATTATTCTTTTCCCATTATGCTAATTTTACAAAATTAGCTACTCTAATTCATAAATCACAAACCAATACTACAAAGCTTTTATGAAGTACTGCATTATATTAGGAAGCCTTCCCTTTTGTTTGGAAATTTACACAGAGGTCCAAAGTAAGAACACTGCTTCAGATGATGTTGTGATTATATTTCTCAATGTTAAGCTATTTAACTAATTAGACCAAAATGATGCTCTCTTTTGTCTACTGATTTCTCACCCTAAAATGCCAACACTCTTGGATCTTCCAAGCGCTGTAGAAAACACTATTTTTTAAGATAGTGAACAAGAGGCGGAGAAGATCCCATTCAAAAAAAAAGGGACCAATTGCTCATGACATTGATGTTTAAACTAAGCCCTAAAATTTGTCTCTGTTTCTAAATTTGTTCCAATTTTAGAAAAAAGACCTCTGTTTGGAGTCAGAACATGCAATAAAAAAAAAAAGACCTCTGTTTGGATAGAGCGTCAGCCTGCGGACTGAAGGGTTCCAGGTTCAATTCCGGTCAAGGGCATGTACCTTGGTTGCGGGCACATCCCCAGTAGGGGGCGTGCAAGAAGCAGCTGATCGATGACTCTCATAGATGTTTCTAACTCTCTCCCTTCCTCTCTGTAAAAAAAATAAATAAAATAAAATAAAATAAAATAAAGTATACTATATTGAAGGACCTTTTATAAGCAATAAGTATAATTATATTTTACTGATACTGCTCTTTATACATTGTTTTCTCTGTAATCACTGTACTGTGCTCAGCAATGAGAACCTAAAATAATGTTTAATAAAACTTTAAAGTTTCTACTAGCCATTTTATTTATATTTGAAGTAGCTATTGTATTTATTAAAGACATAAATATACAATGAATTGATGACAATAACAAATATTTATTTTTTAAAAACCCTCATTAATAACAAATAGTATACTCTAAGAACAATCGTTCTTACAACTGCATCTAAATAATTCTAAATGCAAATTACCATAAAGGTTCACAGCAACTTTATAAAACTTGAGATATACAGGAACCTTTCCTTAATTACCCTGCTATTTCACTCATCCCTCTCAACTTGAATATCTCCAATCACACCAAATCACCACAAACACACTCACCCTAGGTCACAGGCACATTATTTCTTTTTATATGTTAAGGACACCTTCTTTAGAAAAGCACAAAGGAAATGGGCTCTGTGGACTAGAAATTTAGCTCTTAACATAAATCATTTTACACACACATGTACTACACACACAATTCAGGATCTGGGTGCTCTTTCATAATCTGACCTGTGCCTTCAATTACAAATTGATCTCACTCCATCTGATAGCCAAATCATGATACTATTTCACAGTGCCCCCTAGCTCTACAAGATGTATCAGTTTGAAACTGACATCTTTTGAACTATCAAGCTCAACAGAATGTGTCAATCACTATAAGCCCCACTTAAGCGGAACTTATATAGATACTCTATTATCCAAATTTCATCTAATGAATAACAACTCACAATTAAATGTTGCTACTAATACTGATAAGACCTGATGAGGAAAAAAAAGTGATATGAACTGACGGGTTTGGAATTTAACCACATAACAATATATAGTTCAAAGTTCTGTAGCTTTTGTAACATGCAACTTGTTTGCTTTTCAGACAGTTATTAAGCAAGGGCTCATATAAAAATACACTTTACAAATGCCTTCTTTTAATTTAAAGGAGAAATGGCATATCATTAGACCAGAGTTCTTTAGGAGAATGGAATCAGTTTCTTCATTTAAAAAAATGCTGGATTAGATTAAGTAATCTCACTATTAGTCACAGTATTTATCATTACAAACTTAATTTGAATTGCTAACATTGAGAAATTTGTGAGAGTACAACCTGTAACCTTGGTACTGATGCTAAAAAATATGTCATATTTGGGTTACTTCAAGATCAGTAAGGGAGGGTGAAAAGTGAAGATGATGCAATGACATACACCCCTTTTTTTCTGGAAATGGATTCCTTCACAAAAACAAGGAAAAAAAACAAAGTGAAGCAAAACTTCTAAGAAAAACAGCTACGAAAATTACTCAAGTGGTCAAACACCCTTCACCTTACACTGTCTTTCTGGGTAAAAAAAAAAAAAAAAAAAAAAAGCCCTGTTATTCCACATCCAAACCCTAGTACACCCACACTACTATGGGGAAAAACGGAAAGGGGTGAAGACTGGAAAAAGAACAAACTGAAAAAAAAAAAAAAAGATGAAATAACAAGAACAACTACAATGAGGCAGAGTGGAACACGTCAAAAACACAAGCTTTTTTTTTTTTTTTCCTCCTAAAGAATGGTTCTGTGTCTACCGTTGTTCTAAAGTATTTAATTTGCACATCTTAAAATAGAGACCCCAAGGAGAGCAGCTTGAGGCGGTGGAAGGCAGGGGGCGGTTAGGTAAGAAGAGGCTGGCGAGGAAGTGCGTGCGGAGCATCAGAATGTGCGGGGGGCGGTGCTGGACCCGCCGGGCGGCAGCGGAGGCTCCGGGAGCGCAGAGCGGAGTCCGCGGCGCCCGGGGCGGCGTGTGCCCGGCCCGGGGGCACAGCCAGGCGGCACAGCCCGGAGGCACACCTGGCCAGGCGGCAGCCCCGGGGGAGAAAGGCCAGCCCGCCACCCGTGCCAACTGCAGAGATGACCACTGTCACCGGTTCTATTGTCTGGAAGTGTTGTTAGATCCAGCCAGCGACCCCGACACACTGTCAGGGCAGCAGGAGGGAGCGATGACAGCGGCCGTCCGGGCATGCTCCGCCCCGGGGGTCCCTTCCCCGCGGGGCCGTGCGGGGCGCCGAGGTCACGGGGACGCGCGGTGCCCCGTCTCCGGGGTCTCCTCGGGGCCGGCGGCGTCCCACGCCGCGCAGCCCGGGAGGGAGCACCTCACTTCCCCTGCCTCCCCGCCCCCCGCCGAAAGCAGGGAAGACGCGGAACTTGGGCTCCCGAGCGGAGGCCACAGACCCGGTCACGGCCAGGGGGGGCAGGAGGCTCCGGCCGAAATTCCGCGTGGCCGCCCCGGGACTGTGGCGCAGGGGAGGCGAAGTCCCGGCCGGTCCCGTTTCCCGATGGACGGCGCTCGGTCCGAGTGACCCGGCCGCGACCCCCTGCACCTCCCGGGTCCCCGGTCCCAGGCCCTCTCGCCTCCGCCGGTGACCCGGCCTCGGGGGGGTCCCCCCAGGCCTCCCCCTGCAGCCGCCCCTCTCGGAAGACAGACAGCTCCTCTCCCGGACCCTCGCCTCCTCGGACGCCCCCGCCGCCCGAGCCCGGGCCGCACCTCCGTCTTGGTGATCCGGTGCCGCCCCAGCTTCACCACGGCGAAGTTGCCCTTGCCCAGCGTGCCCTCGATGTCGTAGAACCCCACCCGGACCGGCCCGCGCTGCAAGTGCCTCGGGCCATCCGCCATGACCATGCTGGGTCCCGCGGCTGGGCACGGCGGACGGGAGCCTGGAGCGCGGGCTGGCGGGCGGGCGGCGGAGCTCGGGCGACGGCCGCTCTGGGCTGGCGGCTCCTCGCTCCTCAGTGCCTCCAGCTCCGCTGGGCCCAGCCAGGCGCGCGCCGCCGCTGACGCGCGCCGACGTCAGGGGGCCGCGGCGGGGGGCGGGGGCGGGGCCGGCCGGGATTGGTCGCCATGGCGACCAGAGCGGCGCCGACGTCGGCGGCGGGAGGGAAGGTGGGAAGACCAGCGGGGCCTGGGCGGCGCGTTCCTTCCGGGCCGCGGCGCTCTGAGCTCGCTCTCTCCCCGCCGCTTGGCTGCTGCCAGGGGCGGGCGTGCACCCCAGTCCGCCCCGTTCCCCGGCGCCCCAGCCGCAGGCCGAGAGCGAACCCTGGTGGGCGCAGTGGGGGAATGCAGCGACCTGGACCGGGCCTGCCCGTTGGGTCTCCTTCCCCAGCTCCCTCCCGCGTTCCCCGCCCGCCCCCGGACCTTCCCGCCAAAACCTCTCACTGAGGACTTCGGAGGGTCTTCCTTTTGGCAGGGTCGGAGAACATGGGGGATGTAAAGTACAGCATTGCTCAAGAGCTCATTTCTTGGTATCCTTTTCTCATTTTGTTTCTATATAAACCCCTCCGCCTTTTGATGTCTCTGAGGAGTAATCCTGACAGCTGCATGGTCGTTTATAGGTTAACAGAATGTTAGCGTTGAAGAGACCTTAACGCAGGGATCTGTAACCTCACCTGGGCTTCGGAGCCTCAGCTCTGCCTTCCCCCTTACACCCCATATATGCAAATTTTTGCCTACTTGAATTTGTTTCTGGGGAGTTGGGACTATAGTCTTTATCAGGTTCCCAAATATGTTGTTGACCCCGAAAACGTTAAGAAATACATTCTTCATCTGTTGCACTGTATTTCCAGAAGGGGAGTCAAGCTCCAAGGAAGGAAGGTAGTTGCCAAGGTCACTCAGGTAATGCAAGAGTTAAGACTGCAAATCTCACCAGTCTTCCATATGCCAACCCAAGAAAACAGGTAGAGTTATATTACCATTTTGAAATATATGATGTGCCTACAGATCTTGGTTCCTAAAGGCCATTCTTCACCAAACACAATCAAACTCTGGAGAAGGCTGATTCCAGAGCAGAGAGAGGGAATGTACTAAATGCCCTTGAAAGCTCTTGTGCAAGAAAGCAAGATTTTCAAAGAATGATGAGGACATGTTGAAAGGAAATAGGACAGCATAGGAAATACAGTCAGTAACATTGTAATAACTATGTGTGTTGTCATTGTGTTTGAAATATTGGGAGGACCACTTTATAAAGTATATGATTGTCTAACCAGTAGGTTGTACACCTGAAACTAATACAAAATAATATTGAATGTAAACTACAATTGAAAAAAACCCATAAACATATAATCATAGAAAAAAGACCAAAAGGATATACAAAAATTAATAATAAACAATAATTACTTCTGGGGGGAAGGAAATTATAGCTAACTTTTGACTGTACCTCCACTTGTTGCTAGTAAATGTGGGAGAATTTGAGTATCATGAGTGAATAATGATAGAAATGGATTGCAACAAAATGAACTATGCATGCATGTTTATGCTTAAAATTTTAGGTATGGGGATAACAATTCTTCTTGACAGTGGAATGTGAACTAGCACGCATAGAAGAAATTATATTAGGAAAATCACTATTTTTAACTATTATAGAAATGATTGACTCAGATAAAATTATCAATAGATGTTACAATCATTGGGTGAAACTTTGCTAGGGAACAGGAAATGTATGGCTTTTGCTTTACAGCATAAAAATGCATTAATTTTCAGCTCACCATCAAATTTATTGCATTCATGGGCTAGGCACCATGGAAGACACCAGGGAAGCAAATGAGAATAAGGCACGGCCCCTGCCCTTGAGAGCTTAAGGGTTAGAGTAGGAGCTCTAAAATCTGACTGCTTAGGTGTGAACTGTGGCTCTACCACCTACTAGCTGCTGGCTTTGGGAAAGCTGTTTTACCTTTCCCTGCCTCAATTTCTCATCGTTTAAATAGTGCTGATAATAGCCCCTACCTCAGAGGATATTGTGAGGAGGGTAGTCACAAACAAATACTTATAATTTGAAGTGATGAGAGCTAAGATAAGAGATTTCCACACAGCGCTCAAAAGGAGAGGCTATCAACCAATTGAAAGTTTCACAAGAGAGTCTTCCAAAAGATGAAACTCGAGTGGCTTTGAGAAGGTGGAGTAAGGGTTAGCCAGGAGGAAAAGGATGTTATGATCACTTGAAACAGAAGAAACAGCATGAACAATGGTTCTGAAGATATGAAGAGTCAAGATGTACTCAGGTAACTACTATCGGCTGTGAATGTCAAGGCTTAATAATGAAGTGCCCACAGTAAAACAAGATACACGGCACCATGAGCTGGAGGGCTTCTCTCCTTCCAGTTAGGTGTTACTCCTAAATATAAAGAGAAATTTGGAAGTTGCAACTGTGATGGAAGCTGCTGGAGTGATGGAGAGGTTAGAAAGATATTGAAGATTGCTTCCAGGTTTCTGTCAGGAGTAAACAAATGCAATCAATTACTGAGAGCTGACCATGTGCCATTCACTCTGCTGGTCACTGAACATACAGAGTGGATGAAATTTGGACCTAGTCCTCAAAGAGCATGTAATACATTCAATTCAGACCATGTGCCATTCACTCTGCTGGTCACTGAACATACAGAGTGGATGAAATTTGGACCTAGTCCTCAAAGAGCATGTAATACATTCAATTCAGACATTTAGTTCTTATTCCTCTAATATATATAAAGATACTGTGAAAGACAAATAATTAGAAATCAATATATATTTTATATCTGTGCTGGAGCAAAATGAGTTGTGCTAGGAGTAAAATTTCTGCATTGTCATTTACAAGCTCTGGATACATAACTTTGGAGATTGGTGGAGGGATATAGGCTAAAAATTTAAAGATTGATAGTACTGATAAATTGAAGTCAAAGATGTGAGTGGTACCATGCAGTGAAAATATCAACAGTGAAGAAGACATTTCAGTTATTATTGCCTTCTGCTAGTATACGAGTCTGTTACTTATAGCTCAGGGGGATACACACACACAGATTCATAGGAGGTGCTGGTGTTGAGTTTTTGCCATTACGACTCAACTCTGAATGGAATAAACATTACATATAAGTAAATATTCATTCTTTTCTAATCTTCAATCTTGGAAAGTGTGTTATATCAGGGGAATTAGAATTTTATTAGCTACTAATTTACTAGTAGGCCTTTTGTAGATATATTTTGGGAGCTGTGAGTATGTAAATTTCAGGTTTTTATATAATTACTAGAGGCCCAGTGCATGAATTCGTGCACGGGTGGGGTCCCTTAACCTGGCTGGCAATTGGGGCCATCTTGCCCAGTCCTGATCAGGGCCAGCTGGCCGGGGGGAAGGGACCATCAGAGGTTGGTCAGCTAAGGGGAGGGAATGCAGGAGGTTTGCTGGCCATGAGAGGTTAATTATGAGTCAATGTGCATCATAGTGACCAAACAGTCAACCAGTTGATCAGTTGTAATGGTTGCTTAGACTTTTATATATGTAGATGTCCAATTTTGGTGACCATTAATTTTAACCTAGTTTTAGCAGGTACTTTTAGATTGTTTAAGTGTTATACTTAAATTTCTTATATGTGTAACTACAAATATTATTTTATCTTTCACATTTATTTTTGGTCTCCAAGACTAAGGAATATATGTATTTGCTTAGTTCACCAACCTAAAGGTAGCAAAAACAAGCCAATTAAAAAAACTCCCTACTCTCCTCTATACAATCCCTGCTTCCCTCCCACCCCTCACTCCCTCCCACCCTTGCAAAATGTGAAGAAGACAGAACCCTACACTATTTGTTCAGAACTCATAGGAGTGAGTAAATAAAAAGAAGCATTCCCTCCCTGCCAAGGAAGAGAGGCCAGAGAAATAAAAGTAAAATGCAGAGGGAAAAACTATCTTTAAAATGTAGGGAAAAGAAAATTTAAAGGAGGGAGTACTTTCAATCACTAAAAATATGTCAAGCAAGTTAAAGATGACAAGAATTCATTGGATTTAGGCATTAGATAATTAATGATCTTTGCAGAGGAGTTCAGAGTACTGAGGGCAGATGCCAAACTGGAGTGAGTGGGAAGAGGTAAAGAAAAGTAAGTGTAATGATCATATCAATAGGCCCAGAAAAAAACATTCAACAAAATCCAACACCCATTTTTGATAAAAACTCTCAGCAAAGTAGGAATAGATGGGAATATCTCAACATGATAAAGGCCCTATATGACAAACCTACAGCCAAAATACTCAATGCACAAAAACTAAAACCATTTTCTCTAAGAACAGAAATAAGAAAGAGCTGTCTACTTTCACCAGTCCTATTCAATATAGTTCTGGAAGTACTAGCCACAGCTATCAGACAAGAAGAAATAAAAGGCTTCCAAATTGGAAAGGAGGGAGTAAAACTCTAATTATTCACAGCTGACATGATATTGTACATAGAAGATATTTGACCCAGTGATCCCACTTCTAGGACTGAAATACAAATCAGAAAGAATATATGCACCCTTATGTTCATATCAACACAATTTACAATAGCTATGATCTGGAAACAGCCCAAGTGCCCATCAATAGATGAGTGGATAAAAAAGAGATGGTACATTTATACCATGGAATACTATGCAGCAGTGAAAAAAGAATCTCTTATTCTTTGAGAGAGCATGGAGGGACTAGGAAAGTATCATGCTAAGTGAAAGGGTTGGGGTCAAGAAGCTTTCCCAAGGAAGTAACATTTAAGGTCAGGTCTGATAAGTCAATAGAGTAAGCCAGGGATGAGATGTGGGGAGAGCCTTACCAACAAAAGTAAAAGAATTTTTGAATATTTGAGGTGGGAAGAAGCTGAAAATGTTCCAACTGAAGAGTAGCAATAGAAGTAGGAT